CTGGCTGCCATTGTTGAGATGGCAAAGCCAGCACGCTGGCTGCCATCATAGTTGAAGTGGGTAAGCCAGCACGCTGGCTGCCATTGTCCCCTTACCAGCAGCCCAAATGCTCACGACGATGAGCTGGGCTGTCACCGCTTGGCCGCCGGTGGGGGGTTTGGGAGGCCGCATCACACACAGACACCCACACACTCCCTCACACACATACGCAGACTCGTTTCCACACGGACATAGACACACGCACAGAAACCCACACACTACCTCAACTCACTCGACTTCACACTTCTCACTGCACACTTACCGGATAACTCGCACTCTGACTTCCTACGTGATGAAAAATGCTTTCGGGCCACTCGTCGTCTAGTTTTGATATTTTAGCCGTGACCATCAGGCTTGAACACTAGCTTTGGAGAATGGCTGTTGTCCGGTAAGGCCTCACTCTTTCAATGAGCAACTTGCCGAAAGCTTTCACCAACCTGCGCTTTCCAGCAAGGACGCTATTAGTAGCTCCTGGCCTTACTACTAGGAGCAAGGACGCTACTAGGAACAAAGGGCATTGCTACTAGGAACAAATGGTGCGACCAAAGAGTTCACCTCAAAGACGAAGAGAAGAAGGAGCCTTCGGGCCGGCCCTGATTCGACACTCACCGTCACCAATTTAGAGCAACTGATTTCCTCCAACGTCGCAGGGCAGACAAGGGTCGAAGAGATTGCCCGAAGAGACAGACGTCAATGCAGCAATCACTTCTCATCTTGCAAGAAAGTGTGCGCAAGCGGTTTGCTGTTTTTGGTTCTGTCACAGCTTTAGGCGCTAACGTCTGCTGAACAGGAACTGCCAACACGTCCAAACCCGCGACCTTTGGCCCAGATCCGCAGATTGAAAGGACTTGGCTTGCCCGGCTTGCCCTTTTGTGAAATGCCTTTGACCTTAGAGTCAGATGATGTAGACGACATCGATCCGGGAACATTTGTCTATTGGTGCGGGCAAGATGATGATATTCCACGAGACGACCTGGGCGAAGTTCTTTCAGTTCATGATGAAAAGCGGAAGGTGAGCTTCCCTAAGGCCTGATTTGATTTTCTAACAGTAGAGTGCCATAGTAAGCCCTCAAGGCAATTTCCATAGCAAGGCCTTTCTTCCCAAATGCGTCGTGCTTCTTTTGGGATAATGAAGTTCCGTTCAATGGACTCTGGCCGTTTGCATGCAGTGCTCTTCGTCGCAGGGCACTTGGAAGCTGTCCGCAGTCAAGGTGAACGTCTCCGATTTCCAAAAGAAGACCTTCGTGCATGTCGTGGATGATGAAATAGACGCCGCTGCAATTGGACAAATTACCGAGTTGGACAATGGCAAATTGTGTGTGATGATCCAAGGGAAGCAAAAGATTCTCGGACACACTAGTCAATATTTGCTAATTTTTAAGCACACTATTTCTGCTGCTATTTATTGTGAAACCTGGAACCTTGTGTGTTTTGTCTGTTTCCAGGCCCAGTCAGCTGAGGTTTTTCCATACAAACAAGTTGATGCGATGTGACTTCCAACCAGGCCAGCTGGTTGGCCAGTCGGCAGTCGGTCGTCCGGTTGGGTTGAACATCGACAGTCGACTGGGTGCCAAACCGAAGAGAACGAAACACTGGAAGCATCATCCGATCCCTGCGCCAGGGATGTTTGCTTTTTGGACCCGAGCAGATGATGAAATCCCGAAGAATCACATGGGCAACCTGGCAACATGGTCCAAAGGTTAAAAAAAACACGAAAAGGAAGAAAGAAAAGAAAGAAAGTAGAGAAGGAAGGGAAGGGACGAAAAAAGTATAAGAAAAAGGTTGGACGAAAAAGGAAAGAAAGGCGACATTCTGAAACAGGAGTGATCTTGGAAGACTTGAACGATGAAGGCAGAGTGCAGGCCATGAAAGGGAGCTCACGTCACACTCTGCAATTGATTCGATTTCATGAGACTTTTGCAGACTCTGGTGGAATGGCAACTTTGGGTACTTATTTGCAGCTGCAGGATCTCAAATTTTCTTTTCGTGAGGCATCAAGTTATTCTTGCAAAATGAATGTTTTGGCACAGACAGCTTGGTCTGCCACCAGGTGAAATTCCCAAATGGCACGTGGCGCTTCAAGCCGTATCAATTAGTGCGAGCGCATGTTCAACCCCGCTCATACGTACAGTGGATACTTGGCGATCTGATGACACGGGTGGCATACACCGCAAGTTTATTTTTTGCGGCCAAGACCTTAAATAAGACTGGCTAGCCTTCATTGGGTTGAAAGTCTTGAAGTTCATGTTTCTTCATCATGCGTTATCTTCATTCAGCAGACTTGACATGGTCCACCATCCTTGAACAGTACAAAGATCATAGAAAGCCACCTAATAGCGTTGACTGGTCCTGTTGCCCCCTTGAGATACATGGGACATGTATGGCAATGTGGGTCGCTCGAGGGAAGCTTCCTTCATCGCTTGAGGACCGGCTCAGACGATGATATTCCCAAAGGCCGGCATCGAATTTATGTTGGAAGTAGGAAGTAGCAGGATACTGGTGGCTCCCGCACTTGGTACAGCGTTGTGCAAATCGACATGAGGGGGAGGATTGGATTACATTTGAGCGGTAATTCAGAGGTGTTTGCACGCAGCCACATGGTGACAGCTTGGCAAGGTGAGATCGGAAGGGTTGTTGGAGATCTGAATGATGAAGGGAGGATTCTGGTGGAGCTGACACGGCATTGTCTGCTTGACATTTCTCGTTTCGTTGACAACAAGGACACTACGTTCGGGGCTCCTGGCCTTGCTACTAGGAACAAGAAGCTACTAGGAGCAAAGGGCATCGCTACGAACGGAGCAAGGACGCTACTAATTGGAGAAGTAAGCAAGGTGTTGAACTATCAGCGGAACCCCGTCGTGTTTGCCCTTTAACTTCAAGTGGTGTCACAAAGCCAGTTATTGGCAGGTGCAATTCTGCAAGGGGAGATGGAGATTTAAGCCAGAGGACCTCAGCATCTCCAATGATCGATGGTCTCCATCCTAAGAGCGATGGCCTCCAACCTACTAACAATGGCCTCCACCCTTGTAGCGGTTTGAACCAGACATGCAGAGCTTTGCTCCTAGGAGCTCTTTTTGAACGAGATGCAGTATGGTTGCTTCGTGAAGTGGAGTTCACACGATGAGGCAGGGCCTTCCAATTGTTTGCATCCGGCGATGGCACGGCTGTCCTTCTAGGATGTCAAGAAAGGCGATGTCGGCATTGTCACCGGCTTGAAAAAAGACAGTGGCAGGCTCAAAGTTAGGTTTCCTAAAGGACCGGGCAGTCTGTCCAAAGGATTGAAAGGGAATGTTCGTGGGCAAGGCAAGGAAGTGACGTCGGAAGCGCTGCACATTTCAGACTTTCAGACCAGTGCACTTTCTAAAGGTCTTTGACATTTAGGTTGGAGGCCATCGCTATTGGGGTGGAGGTTATCGGTATTATATAGGGTGGAGGCCATCGCTACTAAGGGTGGAGGCCATCGCTACTAAGGGTGGAGGCCATCGCTCTTATTGATAGACCTCGCATTCAACCGCTCTCGCCCAAGTCCAGGACAGTACAACTTCAAATCCAACGAGCTCCGACTACATCAAGTTCAGCCTGGGGAGTTCGTTTATTGGGATAAATGTGACAATGACATCCCCAGAGGCCAGAGTGTTTGGTGTGAATTGAACCCAAAACCAATGCGACAGGCATGTCGGCTGCTTTCCTTTTCTTGCTCCGATTGAGGACACATCGGAGAAGTGGTGAGGATGAAAGACGAGGAGAATTATGTTCAGGTCCAATGGCCACGAGGCACACATTGTGATCCGATGTTCTGCATTGATTTAGTGGACTAGTCAACTGGCTACCTTTTTTGCACCAGCGACGCTAGCAGGGGCCCCGCGCGAAACCACAATTTCGGGACCTCCGGAGTGCAGCTTCAATGGCAGTGTTTGCGATAGCCTTGTTTTCACATGCACACTACGAACTTGTTCTTCTTTGTGTCTTGTTCTCTCGCTGCGTTTGAGCCTGTATTTTTCCACGCGCGTTGACGAACTTTTTGCAATCGACCCTTGGGTATTGAATTCTGCTTTGGATTTCTCTCAGCCAAATGACCCTCCATCGGACTTCCTTTCCAACACTGTTATCGTTTATCATTGTCATTGACACTTCTGCCGATTGCTGCAGCAGTGCTCGTCCGGCCTTAATCTACTGTATCGTTGTGCCTACTACATCCTGTCAGGCTGTTTTCTGGGTGTGGACTCAGTTCCCGTTGCATCAACTGCGGTAAACTGCAGTTTGTGAAAGACCTCAAGGGTAGCAGTTTGCCAACCAGGCAACAGTTTCCAGCACGCAGGCTTCAGACAACTCCTGCTCAAAATGCTGCATGCCCCCGAGACCCAAGATGATGTCAGATTGGTGAAAGGAGGTTGGACGTTTGCTCGGTTGAAGTGAAAAGATATGCTCCTCCTCAAAATGAACTTCTTGCCCCCAGTGACCCTGGCAACCCACAAGGCTTTTGTTTGGCCTTGCCCATAGAAAATCAAAGTGACAGGTCAACAGTACCTTCCCAAAATCACCATGCCTTTTGAGACACTTTGGACATTGTGTCTTCCAATCAGACGTGCGCATCGCGTGGGGCCCTGGTTGGCGTCAATGCCCTTCTTGTTTGCGTATTGCGTCAAGGCAGCCTGACAGTTTCACCCAGAGAATTCTAACTATGCACTAACCTCTCAAGCAAAACCATGTTCAATCATGTTCAAGCAAGTATATGTGGTTTTGGAGGAACATGGAGCATGAAACCACATGAACTCCAAAAGCTTCCCTTTCAACGAGCGGATCGTGTGCCTTGGCATCACTGCGCAACAGGGGGGCAGTCGACAGGTTTCAGTAGATCTGTGGCGGAAGTTGACCGTAAGGTGCAATGGATTAAAGCGGACGACGACATCCCAGAAGGGCACATTGGCCAGGTCATGGGCATCAAGTACGGAGAGGTTGCCTGACAAGATTTGACAAGACTGTGGCTCTAGATGACTCAAGACGGAACAGTTTCGATGGGTTTCACTTGGCCCGACTGAGGACGAGGAAGATGGCTTAACAGGGCACAGGTTGTTCGTGCGCTTTCCAAAAGGGCGCTGGCACTTCGATCCTTCGTCTTTGAAGAGCCTCAACCTGGATGTTGATGGTGTCAACGAGCTCAAGGCGAACGATGCAAACAACCTCTCGTTGCTGGCTTTTTGTTCTTCATTTTTTTTCAGAAAATAGAACGTGACTCTGTAGAGTAACTACTTGTAGATTTTTTAGGCAAATGTGCGGCACACCAGGCAACATTCAAGCGCTTTGACAAGAATGGAGATGGAAAGCTTTCGCTGGAAGAGCCTCGCTTGTGCTTTGCTTGCTTTCCGCCAATCAAACGGGCAAAGTAGGCAGTCCGTTTTCTGAGAGCTTTCAATGCTGTTCTGAGAGCTCACAATGTTTTCAGGAATTGCAGTCTGTCTTGGGAAAGCTCGGAGAAGGTGGTGGGGGACTTTCCGATGAGGAATGCCAAGAGCTGCTTTGGCCAAATTGATGCCTTTCCTTTTCTGTAGACCGGACCTTTCTTCAGGTTGGAGGCCGCTTTTGGTTTTCCTTTTTCCTTTGGACCTCGCACCCGGTCGCACCTTCGCAGGTTGTTCAATGCGCTGGACAAGGATGGACGCATGGCGGCGCATGGCGGCGCTGGACGCGGTGGTGTTTTCGTAAGACATGTTCTAAGCTCACCCGCCGAGGAAATGGCAAGCTCACTTCGGATGAGTTCCTGGACTATGTTTTTGGTACTGATGCCTCGGGATCTAGCAAGAAGCTTCTTGGACGCCTGGAAGCAAGAGACATTCTTTTTTCTGAAGTTTTCTGGCTTTCATTCGCCTGACGCAGAATGGACACGACGGTATCCCACATCACAAAGGCAAAGCGGGTGCAAACGCCTGCAAGGAAGCCTCAGAGCACACAAGCTGACATAATTAGTCTCCGGATACAGAGACATATTACTTCCACAGACCCGAGGCAAAAGCAGTCTTTAGAGACACCCACATCTCTTCGCAATGATGCATACCTCATGCGTGACAATGCCATGCAATCCTATTTTACAAAAAGTAGCGAATCTGCGGAAAGACACACTGAGGGAATTGATTCGAGGTTGCCCAGAACAGACTTTTGGTGGATAAACGATTGACCTCGAAGACTCGAAAACAGTGCTTTTCAGCTTCGAGATGGGAGTGCCCGTGCCCTGTATTTCAGGAGATGGCTTTGGTCTGCAAGCTGTGCTGGGTGCCTTGCAAGCCCTAAAAGTGAGGGAAGCAGGACAACAGTAGCAGCAAGAAGCTACTAGTAACAAAGGGCATTGCTACTAGGAGCAAGGACGCTACTAGTAGCTCCTGGTCTTACTACTAGTAACAAGAAGCTACTAGGAACAAAGGACATCGCTATCACCTAAAAGGGAGAATCGAAGAGAAAGAAGGCTGTCGCGAGCAAGTTGTTGCTCCAGATGTCACTTTGGAACCCTCCAAGAGTACGGATGATGTAAGCCTTCAACAGCCTTCTGCCTTTCCGCAGCTTTATGCAATTTCTGACTTGTCTAAATTCATCAACATCATTGGTGGTGCTGGGAATCTCCCGGCCGCCAATGTGCCAATATCTCTCAATTGATGTTGGGTGATGCTGCGCGGGCCATTTTTTGTTGTCAGTCACTTGGCTTGAAGTTCAGCAATACTCGTTTGAGGCCTGGGCGGTGATGATGAGGAAGAAGATGACGATGATGATGATGATCCCAACAGCGGAGGCGGTGGTAATCAGGCCGGCGGGTAACGCAATATTTTGCTTAATCATAATCATTCCGTCCAAAAGACAGGTTTTGTGCCTGAGCCATCCACAGGTGGTCATCCCTCCTACTGATTTCAACGTCACCTTGGATCCAGAGGACCAAAGACTGAGCAACAATTGGAATGAACATGCAATCAGCATTAGGGGCAAGAGTATTGACTGTTAGATTATTAGAGTATTAAGGGGCAAAACAGAGGGGCAAGTTGAAGCAAGACATTGCACATTAGGACTTGACAAAATCTATATGTGCTTGGAACATGTGGAAAGCATGTGATGTTTTTTGAATACATTTGATTCAAGCTTCAAGGTTGTGCGTGACACTTTGGTGTCTTGGAAGATTTGGGTACCAGCGGAACTCTGGTTCCTGGACTGCCTTGCACTGCATTTTTGACACTTGAAGCCCCTGAGTCTTTTTCTGAGGCCACGGCGGCTTCGACACTTTGGCGGCCACAGCTTCCTCCAGGTTTTGAAGGTCCTGCACCGCAACCTCCAAGCCCAAAGCTAGATGGCTGCGGCGCTAGCTGCTTTGCGGGTGGGTGGTTCAAAGCCGATGATGGATGCGGGTGCTGGTGGCCTGGAAAGTCTTGATGCGGCGGCAACTCCACCAACTGGTTTGGCCTGGCCGACCCCTGCTACGGCAGCCAAGGCAATTCGCCGGCTCTTGATCCTGCTTTTGCAAGGAGGAACGTGGCCCTGAGCACAGGCCAGAATCCGATGGAGATGTCAGTGCGTGCACCGAATGGAACCAGGGTTAAGGCAACCCTTCTTCTTGATGCCGTCGCCAACCTCACCAGGACAAAAACTACACCATGCATCCAAACTTTGAGGGGAACCTGAGAACTGGGCAAGTACAAAGACCAAGGCGCCCAAACCACACCTGAGGCCCGTCCCACATCGAGTGTGCAACCCTGTGGCCGGGCATGACTTCTGTTGTCTCTTACAGTCGCGCGTCCCTTTCTTTCAGGGTGCTCCTGGGACGTGAGCGCATCGTCTGACGATCAATTGGGAAAGTTGATCCGCGCTTTTGCCAAGTCGGTTTCTATTTTCTGGAGCCCTACGAAGTCCTGGCGGCCAGGGTCATTGATGCCAGCGCGGGCCTTCAAACCTGCTTTGCTTACGTATTCACAAAAGCGCGCAGCCGCAGCAAACCACTTTCCAGTGAAGCCTCGCCTCACCAAACCGCATGCCTCGTGTAGTGCCGGGCCACCGGCCGCCTCAAAAAGGAAGACCTTCTCAAATGTCGAAAGTAGAGTTTGTTTAATGCAACGAAAAAGCCTCTATAGGCCCACGTCTGTACACCTACATGTTTACACCCAAACTTATCTTCCAGCATTTGTACATCATACACTTTCACCTAGATGTGCATCGACATGTAGATGTGGGCTATCGTGCTTACATCTATGCACACCTACATCATTGACATGCGCAGATAGCTACACACAACGTGATGAGGGTGATGGTGGTGGCGTGACGGCATGATAACATGATGACATGACCATGATGATGGTGATGGTGGTGATGATGATGACCATGATGACACCGACGTGAGGAAGGGGATGACGGGGAAAATGCAATTGGTAGCTGGTCTTGAAGTGTTGGAGGTGTGGAATGTGTTTGAACCAGGATGTGGGCGAGATCAACGGCGAGACCCCTGTATCCAAGGCTGGGGTCACCAAAGGTTCTCGTCAGCTTCAAAGCCAAACTTCATTGAACCTCGTTTTGTTTTCGAATCATGTCTGACGACCTTTGTCTTAAATGGTTCTCTGAGGCCGAATGGGTTTCAGCTATGCTTACAGTGGGTATGTGTCGAGCTGCTTCAGTGGAAAGCTTCGAAGGATGTCTGAAAGAACTGGGCCAAGAGGACGGTCCTTGTAGGAACGTTGCGTTTGCATGCATTTCGGCCTATTGAAGAAAATTTGCAGCTGGCGAACCAGTTCCAAGTGTCACGATCGCTTGTGAAAACTTCTGAACTTATTCGTGAACCATCACCAGCCTAATCCTAACCTAGCCCTCCACATCCGAGCGCCACATCAGTGGGACAGCAACCCTCGAAATGGGATTGCACCAGGTACATCCAAACGAAAAACACAAAAATTGACCACCCAGAGCAGGCCTAGCGGCTCAAAGCATCACCTTTGGAGTCGATTAACAAGCGAGACAATCCCTGTCCCACGCGCCCAAACATGCAACCAGCTGCCTCACCTTGCCATGCCCACTGAAGGAAGCCCTATGGAATGCAGGGGATCGACCAGACCTCCCCCACCACGCTTCACCGTTGGCATTCTTCAGAAGCCCTTCGAAACGGGATTGCGGCGAAAAATAAGACTCCAATCCCTCTCCCATGCGCCTAGACCTGGCCGACCCGACATACTACGCTTCACCATTGGCATTCTCGTTCAAAAAAGCCTCGAAATGGGATTGCCATCTATTTCCAAAGAAAAAAACAAATCAACTACTGTGAGCAGGCCTAGCTGGGCCCAAAACGGTGAGAGAGAGAGAGAGAGAGTGAGTGAGAGTGAGAGTAGCTTGGAGCGAGCGTGCAGGATGGCGAGGTGCCGTTGAAAGAATTAGCTGCGGAGCTGAATGGAATTGGGAGCGCAGCAGGCACCCATCGCTCTTAGGTTGGAGGCCATAGAGAACCTTTTTGAATCAACATCTCCCCGGATTCTGGCAGGTGTTGAGGAGTTGCGGGCAGCGGTGGGAAAGGTGAAACAGGGCAAGGCCTGTGATTCTGGTTGAAGTTTTGCCGGGAAAAGATAATTCTTCCACTTTCAGTTGCTGGCTCTTGTGACATTGGTCATGTTTTTGTATCTGAAACGCCTCGGATGCTGAGTCTAGGTACCTGCGCAAGATCTTGAGGTTGCACCAGAGGACAATCCGTTTGAAAAGGAGTTGGCCACGAAGACCGGCATTGATGGCCTTCTTTTCCATCTGAATGTCACTTGGTGCCAGGGCAAAGTGTTGAGAAACTGTCTTGGTCGAAGCTGCAGCTGAAGGTCTTGGATTTTTCGGTGGACACTATAGGCACCCACTAGGAACATCTACACAGCTTCTCTAGGAGTGCCCTAGGCACCCACTGCGTGTATCTTCACGTTGCATTGATTCCAAGAGAGGTCCGCAAGATGAGCTATGACGACTCAGCAGCCGAACTTCCGAATGCAAAACTCTCTGCCCTGGAAGAGAAGGCATTCCTGAACCCTCTTGGAGCCAGAGCTTTTCTAGTTGACGCACTCTTTGAGTTTTTCAGTGTTTGTGCCAGGTCTTGGGAGAAATGGGAGATGGCTTGGTGGATGCAGTCAAGGAACATGCTCAAAATCCACCCACCTTGAGCGCTGTATCCTCCTGGCAACGTGCGCGAGAGAATTGCCGAAAAGAAGTCCAGGAGCGCGACTCATGGTCACCAATGTGTTGATTGTGTGGAATGTTTGTTGCATTGGTTCAGAAGAAGACACCCTCCCACCGGACCGCTTTATAGGGATTTCAATCTAGCACAGCTTCGGCCACAGAACTGGGGGCTGAGACCAGGCGATCATCGACCAGTGCACGAGTGCCTTGCTGCGCTTTGGAAGTGCAGGTTTCCGGTTTCCAAGTCTCTCGAACCCCTCAGGTCTTTCATCACATTTTGCAAGTAGGTTGGAGGCCATTGCTAGGAGCAAGGACGATACTAGGGGCTCCCTTGGAGAGGCCGATTGATGCCGAGGCAGCGGAGAGAAGTTTGTGGATACGACATGGAATCCAACTGAAAGCGACGAAGCAGAAGCATTTGCACTTCGGAAGCCGCTAAATTACTGTTGCTCTTATTTTTTTTGAGACCGGCTTTTTGACGTTTACTTTTTTTTGTGATATTTTTTAGTTTTGATGCCTTTTTTTAAATGTGTTTCTTTAGACATTCTTTTTATACCTCTTTTTGTGACGTGTATATATTTTTGTTGCTCTTAATTTACTATTAACATCTCTTAAATGACAATGTCTCTTCCCCGCATGTTCTCTTCTGCGGGTGCCCGTTCTGGGCACCAGGGCCATTGTCAACGGTGTGCAGTCGTTCTCGTGCGATCTTCATAGTGCGGTTGTTCTTCTTTGTTTCTAGTAGCGACGGCCTCCAACCTAATAGCCATGGCCTCCAATGTTTTTTTTGGCTTAGCTGCGGCAGAGTTGCTGCTGCTTGCCTTTGAGTCGAAGAATCCCTTGAACCGGTGAGTGTGGTTTGTGGGACTCGACAGCCCGCCCTGAGGTAATGTATGTCGACAAAGAAAAGCCCGGTTGGGATTGCACTGCCACCAAGCCAAAGAGTTGGAAGCGAATCAAGGAGGCACATCGCGATTTCTCACGTCAACGTCACACCGAAAGAGAGATGTCCTTTTTGGGCGCGGTTCGAATCAGATTTGCTGTCAAGCTACACAGTGTGAACCGACAAGCAGGCAAGTCCAAGGTAAGCCTCAGGCAAGCCATGCTAAAGCTAGAAACAATGGCTTGGTGAACAGAGCCTCTCGATTGAGGTCATGGAGAACGGAGAGGTGGTGGTCGGGGACTGCGCTGCAAATGACATTGAGTCTTGGCGAGATCCGACTGGAAGGTGAGCAGAATAAGCTGCTAGCCTTTTGAAAGGACGAACCTAAGACGCCTTGCATTTAAAGAATGTCACTGCTCGCTTACTTTGACTAAATTACTTATGCACCTTTTGCTATTGCTTGTAAAACGTCACAGCTGGCTCCGAGGATCAGGGCAGCTGTGGAGACTGTGATCCGGCCGCCGAACAACTTTTTCTTTTTATTTCCTTTTATTTTCAACCACTTTTCCTTGAACTGTCCTTAAATGCATTCGAAATTTGCTGCACCCTTCACGCGAGATACGAGGAAGATCCTCAAAGCCCTGGACCTTTGAGTGTCAGTTGTTTGTTTGTGTTTTTAAAGCCCAGGCCAGGCTGTGGTTGTTTGTGACCGACCAGCTTTCACCTGAGCTGTGTGATGTTTGATGTGGCCCATCAATTTCTGGAGCTAAAGTTATGATATGTTCATCCAATGTTAGCAACCAAGACTCTTATAATTCTTATATATATAGGCCTTTTATTCGTCTCTTTTTGATGTTTCTTTTTCTACTTTTTGCAAGGCCTTTCTACAAGGCCCTGTTTGCTTTTTCTACTTCGTTCTGTTTGCTTTTTCTTGTTTTCGACAAGGCTTTTTGTTGGGGGCCCTCGGCGCCGTCGCCGCCAACCGGAAGCGCTTCATTCGGCAAGCCTTTGTGCACTACGACACTGAGATCGGAGCTCGAGCCTGAGGAACCGGGTGAACGCGGTGAACCGGGTGCCGAGCTAGCAGGTTAGAGGCCATCACTATTAGGTTGGAGGCCATCGGTACTAGGGTGAACGC